ACTGAATTAAAAAATCCTTTAAAATGCAGAATTTTACAATTGAAGAAAGTTGGTAGTACAATTGAGTTTTCCTAGAATATTTAGTAAATTTTCAGTATTTTAAGGGAAAACCTAAGAAAACTTCTTGAAAATGCCTGGGGAAGAAAGAATGCATTAAAATGCACTGCATTATATTATACTATTTCTGTTAACATTATAATTTTTCACAGTAATTACTCAACAAAGATAACATTTACATACACATATAAATCAAGTTAAAGATGAGGGCAACTGATCTTAAAGTTATTAAACAAAAAAAAAATTTTTATCAAAACAATAAATAGATCTTTATAGACAAAAAGTATACATTTGCATGAACCTCCAATTAAAATTATTGTATAGTGGATTATAGCAAAACATTATTTCTGAGTTTCTAGAAAATATATTTTATAAATTCAAATAGCCAATATAAATCAGAGATGATTTAAAATTAGATGTACATTATAAAGTTACTAATTTTAAATAAATTACTCATTCCTTAAACAAGACTACAAATTATAGAACAGAATTTTAAATTTCATTTTTGTTTTAGGGAAAACAAAAATTTACAGATATCTGATATAAAATGTTCACAAAGAATGCATCTCTTGTGTGACACTAAGAAAACTTTCAGCATAAGCTACAACATCATATTTGAACATAAATACATTACTTCTAATTTTTAAAAGCTTGTAAGATGATTTACAACTTTCAGATACCAGATACATGGCATGCAAATCATAATTCTTGAATGCTCCGCATTCATTCATAAAAGACTCCTAAACAAAGGGGTAAGAATTTGGTTCACAGTGTAAAAACTGTGCACAAATTTTGTTATGATAACCTATTACCCACAGAGGAAGTTATCTAATAAACAAAAACAATCTGGTATTTACTAATTTTACACAATCCATTTTAAAACTTCCTGGTCTGAGGCTTGAACCAACTGGATTTTATGTGAACCATAACCAGAGAGAGTGAACAATGATAAATTAATAATATCAGAGAAAGCAGATGACATAAAGAGAGCTAACACTCAGGAATTATAATTAAATAAAGTTTCTTTCTCTCCTTCTTTCCTTCTTTCTTTCCTTCCTTCCTTCTTTCTTTCTTTCCTTTCTTTTCCTTCCTTCCTTCCTTCCTTTTCTTTCTTTCTTTCTCTTTCTTTCTTTCTTTACCTCGTACAAGTGATATATTAATCTAAATGATGGAATTTCAAATCTATCTATGGTTGTTGTCAAATTCAGTAATTAAAAATGCAACCCAGTGTAGAAAAGACATTTTTCTGTTAATTTAAAAAATATTTATGGCTTACTATCTTTCAAACAAATTATTTACCCAAATAAATTCTTGCAATCATTTGCTGGTTTCTATGACTATTTATTGACAATTATTTCTAAATTACATAAATGTGTTAATTACCAACAAGTAAATTTTGTTTTAAAATCATTGATAACTGTAACACTTATAAAAATGGAAGATTCTCATTTGTATCTCTGTTTTAAAGTCTAATCATTTGTAGTGATCTAATATTTCATATAAATACAAAATCTAACAATTGGTTTCTTAAGTCTATAAGGTATGTGAGGTTATAGATATCTTTACAAATTTTGCTCAGAAATTGAATTTTATTTTAGAAGATATACTGCTAAGCACAAAATGTATTTTATGAATTATCTTAAGTATAAAGAAACACAAATATCCACTTTATCATTCAAGAATAAATTATTATAAGGGATTGCAAAATATTTGCTAATGGAAATGCAACAATTTTTATTTACCTAACCTGTTACTTCACACTGTAGTATAGAATGAATTTTATAAAGGCAAAATTGATTTACTCTGAAATTAGCAACATGGTTTAATTAAAAATGTCACAAGATTTATAGAGGTAATATTTCCAATTCAAATAGTGTTTTGCTGGGCTTCAATTTTTCCAGAGAGCACTGAAATAAATAAATATTTTTTGGCTTTACTTTAAGATATTTAAAAGGGTTTTAAGTATTCTACAGATACAGACTTTAAAGAACCCTGAATTCTTTAAAAAAAAAACAAACAGCTATTTCTTTCTTCTTCTTTTTTTTTTTTTTT